AAAAAAAAACTCGCCAGGGATGACTTTGAATCTTAACTGTGGGCACACTAAGTTCCCAAAGTAACCAGCAGAGGGCATGTATGACATATTTACATTTTCATTGGTCCTGTTGTGGTGGTTGAACAACTTGATGTCCTTTAATCACTGCTAATTCAGCTGGTGTGGTCTGTGCTTGAATAAAATAGGACAACCATCTCTTAACTTGGTTCCCAGGTTGATTGTTGTTTATTTTCTTCCTTCACAAGAAAACCACTTCAGGCAAAGACTGTGTCATCCTGTGATCCTGCACTCAGATAAATGGCAAAATAAAGAACTGTAAACCAATCAGGCTAAAAAATAGTATTAAACAGCTGCTAGAGAAGATATAATGGAAGCTTTTACTCTTTAGACAGTTGGAAGGAAAGGTTAATGAAAAAGAAGATTGCACAATAAATGGCCTGAGCTGTTGTACTGTGATACTGAAGAGGTAAAAGCTTCTGTGGAAACGTGCCACTGTTGTGGTTTTGCTTTAACAGACAGTGAACATCAGCTTCCTTCCCAGAACTGATATTTGGCTGTGTTACATATTTTCTGGAATTTTGCTAAACTTGTTATCTCTGCTTCCTCCCTCTTTCTACAGCTCAACATGTGAAAGGAATAAAAGAGATGGACAACAATCCTACTGGACTGTCTTCTTCTGCATCGTCAGCTTAAAAAATAGTATGTATGAAGTGTCATATGGCAGAGTGACCTGTGTGTCATATATATATAAATGATCTAACTAAACATTCATATTATGTTTTCTAATATTTTGACTGTATACAGTACTTGTGTTGTACTTGCATGTTGGACATTCTGCCAGTAGGGGGCAGGTGAAGTGCAAACTAAGGAATCAAAATTAATTTTGGTCTAATTGCTGCTTAAATATAAGACTATAATAAGATTACTACCTCGTCCAGAGTCACTGACCTTTCAGCTCGGGTTTGGTCTCCATCAAAAAAAAATCCTTTTGATTCAGAGTGCATAGAAAACTGAGAAAACCTGTTTATTGTTGACAGAAATAATTTGCCTGGACTTTCATGACCTGCAGTAACTCCTTTTGGAAGGATGAGGTTCTCTTCATGGGCCAAGGTCAGTTTTATTTTTTCACAAGTATGTGACCATCACTCACCTCAACATTTTTAGCTAGTTTTCAACACCATCATACAAATGACAGAGCACACATATCCATTATTGAACAAATTCATTTATCTAATCTGATCGTGACCACACAACACCTTCCTATTTTGAGGAGTGAACACAGAAATGTCATTTTTCTTCATTTTCTTATGTACACTCACACTTGCTGACATCTTAAAGTTATGTACCGTAAATTATGAGCAGCACATCTTTCATGCGCCCAACATGAAGATGCTGTTTTGTCTTGATGTCGCTCAGCAGGTGGGAGAAATATCCTATTTACTTCTCCCACCGATTCCTTCAGGAGAGGAACTTTCCAGGTGGGATCTCTCTAGCCTGTAAATTACAGCTGTTGCATAATTTGAGAGAGAGAACACATGGAACAGCTGAATATAACCATGTGGTGCATATTGTGCTTATTTCTAGTTTGCGATGATTAAACTCTGTTTTCAGTTGCGTCCATCATTCCACTTAATAATTGTGGATGTTTTTCTTCCATCCACCAGCTTCCATGGTGATCCAGGTGCAGCAGCGATTCATGGGTTCATGATGCCCCCTTCTGGTCTGAGCTCACACAGAATCCAGGACTACGCTCATCAAGGCTTCCAAGTGGAACAGCTGCTCCCTCCCAGTGTCCTGTCTGCACACAACTGGTTCCTCCAGGCCGGCCCCAAGTAAACAGACACTCATTCAGAAACCGCAATTAGTTAATGATTCAGTCATTTCTCCGAAGACCCCACACACTAAAAATGAGTGAGCAGATCACATCAGCAATGTAGTCACCTCTATAATTCATTAGAAACTCAAATATATATGTAAGTACCACTTTTCAACTTCAAATGATAAGGTTTTGCATTAAAGTTACTCATGGCTCGTTATGA